CGACTCCATCGTCGTACAAACAATATATCTCTATCCTATCACCTCTCATGGACACTATCGGGGCAAACAAGTTCGCATTGACCATATGAGACGACATCCAAGCGGGTATAGAGCACACAGTTTGCAGAACAAGAAACTTCGACTTCGACTATGTTTACTCTGGGACCTGCATTCCAGCTTCTGACTTGCATTCACTTGGGGCAGATAAGATCGCACCGACCATATAGTATGACTTTGAAGGGTATTCAACGAGAACAACAGGCAGATGAGGATACATCGACTTCATCACTGTGCACACTGTATCTCTTTATTCCGTCATCTCACATGGATACTATCGAAGCAGAATAGATCGCGAAGACCATATAACAGGATATCGAAGCGCGTAAAACGCACATAACAGACAGAGAATGAACCTTCTATTTTGGTTATGTGTACAGTGTGACTCTACATTCTAGCATCTGATATACATACAGTTGGAGCAAACACCATGTAAGACGACATCGAAGCGGGTATAACGCACACAACAGTCAGAAAATAAAACTTCGACTTTGTTTCAACTACGACTCCGCGTTCTAGCTTCTGACATGCATACAGTTATGGCAGATAACATCTTACTGACTATATATAATGACACAACGGGCAAATAAGGATACATCGACTTCATCGGTGTGCACACTGTGTCTCTCTATCCAATCATCCCACATGTATACTATCGAAGCAGTATGGATCGCGAACATCATATAAGACGACATCGAAGCAAGTATAACTCACACAACAGGCAGAAAATAGAACTTCGACTTCGACTATGTTTACACTGGGACTTTGCTTTCTAGCTTCTGACATGCATACAGATGGGGCAGATACTATCTTACTGACCGAATAGGTAGACTCTGTAGAGTATATAACGATTGAAGATACAATCATTTCATATGTATACACACCATAGGAGCAGAATAGATCGCAAACACTATATGAGACGACATCGAAGCAGAAATATTTCGCACAAAAAGCAGAAAATGAAACTTCGACTTCGACTATGTTTACACTGGGACTCTGCATTCTAGCTTCTGACATGCATACAGTTGGGCAGATACGATCTAACATGACAAACTGTATCTCTCCATTCTATCATCTCACATGGGTACATCCGGAACAGAATTGATCGCAAAGACAGACAGAACAAGAACATTCTACGGCTATGTCTACAGTGTGACTCTGCATTCTAGCATCTGATATACATACAGTTGGAGCAGATACGATAGCTCTGACCATATAAGAAGACTCAGGAGAATATATAAGGACTACACGAGGCAAATGAAGATACATCAACTTCATTGGTGTGCACACTGTATCTCTCTATTCGATCATCTCACATGGATACTATTGGAGCAGAATAGATCGCAAAGACCATATGAGACGACATAGAAGAGGGTAAAAGGCACACAAAAGGCGAAAAAAGGAACTTCGATTTCGACTACGTTTACACTAGGACCTGCATTCTGGCTTCTAACATGCATACAGTTGTAGCAGATGAGGATACATCGACTTCATCGGTGTGCACACCATTCTATCAACTCACATGAATACTATTGGAGCAGACTAGATCGCGAAGACCATATTAGACGACATTCAAATTCAAATTCTAATTCTTCATTTATTATCAAAATAATATAACAATTTCACATTTTTTAAACACTGCCAGATAAACCAAAATGGTTTGTGCCTGACAGACGAAGGGTGATATAGTTGAAATGAGTTGACAAAACGATACAAATAAGAATTGAAAATGTTCGTAGATAATCACTACTATAATTTTCAGAATATTTACATGTGTTTCCTTGACAGAGAGATGAATGAGTTTTTATGGTTCCACAGTATTCAAAATTTTGAACAATTAAGGATATGGTGTTTAATTTTGTTTTTCAAATGTTTGAAACTAGTTATTCTCTTTATTGCATCAGGTAGATTGTTGTATAAGCGTACGCCAATATAGTATGCATGTTTTTGGGTAGTATTTTTCTGTACCTTCGGAATTTGTAGCTGGTTTTCTGTTTGACTCCTTGTTGAGTAGCTGTGCTCATATTTCGAATAATATTTGGGATGTTTGTAAATCATTAACAATGCATTCTTATGCAATAATTGCTTAATTGTAAATACCTTTGCTTCAGCGTACAATGAAGATGTAGGATATAGTCGTTCTTTCTTCATTATAATTTTGAGGATATATCTTTGCGTTGTATTTATATATTCCAAATGTGTTGAATATGCTGCACCCCATGCAACTATACCGTATTCTAATATGGACTGAGCTAAAGCGTGATAGATCGCAAAAATAGTACGTTGGGACAGTATATTCACCAACATCTTGGATTTCGGTAGAGTACATCGAAGCAATTTGGTGATGTGATTAATATGCTTATTCCATTTTAAGAACCGGTCGATGAATATGCCTAAGTATTTAATTTCATAGACTTCTTCTATGCTATCATGACAGTCACAATTATATGCGCAGTTATTTTTCACATGGATTTTTAATCTCCTTATATTTGGATAGCCTGATTCGGTTAGCGAGGAAGTTATAAATTTCGTTTTCTTCAGATCCAGTGTCAGTAGACGTTTACTCATTTCTTGATATATAATCTTCATTCCAATTTCAGCATTTATTCTCACGGTTTCCCATGAATCAGCACTAAATAAAACAACAGTGTCATCAGCGTATGCCACAACTTGTATCTGTACCTAACTTCAAATTGAGGATCTCATTAATGTATACATTGAAGAATAATGGCCCCAACACAGTCCCCTGTGGCACTCCATAAATAGTTGTTTTCTCGCTACTTGTAATATTATTGACTTTGACTGTTTGGGTCCGATTTTCTAGATAAGATTTTATTAGGTCTGCAGCTTTACCTCTGATACCACATGTTTTTAATTTATATAATAATATATCATGGGAAACCGTATCAAACGCTTTCTTCAAGTTTACGAACATGGCAATTACCTTCTTGCTTTTATCCATTGAATTATATATTGTGTTTGTTACTTCAAAAATTGCGTCATCAGTGCTAAGTCCCGTCCTGAATCCATACTGCTTGTCTGACATAATGTTATGCTTATTGAGAAATTCTGTGAGTCTCGTTTTGGAGCATTTTTCGTGAATTTTCGCCAAGTTATTGATGACAGATATAGGACGATAATTTCCAGCATCATACTTTGATCCAGATTTGAATACTGGTAAAATAGTGCTCTTTTTGAATGCTTCTGGATATTCACCCTTTGTCATTGACAAGTTTATTATGTGCTCAAGTGGTTTGGAAATTTGTGTGGCAATCTTTTTCATGGTGTTCGTTTGTATGGAGTCAGGGCCAGGTGCAGCATTCGTTTTTAATGTTTTTATTTGATTCAATATTTCCACTCCAGTTACAGGAGACAGAAATATAGATTCTTTCAAGTTCTTATCATTAATGGTTGTGACTTCCGCGGTATTTGAATTCGTTTGGTCTATACTCTCAGCCATTGATTTACCTATATCACAAAAATAAGAATTGAAATAGTTTGCGATTTCCAAATTATCAGTCAAATTGATATCATCACTTGTTACAATTCTTTCGACTGGTTTATTTTTGTTAATTTGTTTTCCTGTAACTTCATTTACAATTTTCCATATTTTTTTAATGTCACTGGAATTTTCATCAATTTGTCATCAATTAATTAATGTATTCAGCATGTTTCTATATCGTCTCAGCTTTTCTTTCAATTCCTGATTATTTTCATCTTTTTTATATTCTTTGTGATGCTTTTCTCTTTCCCGTATGGAAACTACAAGACCATGTGTTATCCAAGGTTTCAGTGCTTTATATTTTTTTCTTGTTGGTGAGTGTTTGATATTGGATGATTCATTTATATAGTTCGTCAAAATTGAAATAAAGTTGTCAGTTGCATTGTTTACTATTTCGCTATTGAGGACGCTATTCCAGCTCTCTGAGTTCAGTTTATCGTTTAGGGCTTTATAATCAATGTTTGTACGTTCTTTACAAGTTTCTATATTTTCATTCGTGATTATTGACATTTTCTTATGAATTTTCAAAAATATGGGGTCATGGTCGGTTATATTATATTTCAAAACAGCATAATTTATTTCATCGCAACTACTTTCGTGACGTCGGATGGAAAAGTGGTCTAAACATGAGGTTCCTCTAGTTGGAGTACAGAGATAATTTATAAAATCAAATGAATACATTGTATTGAGATATTGATTCGTTTCTGCCGATTGCAAATTGAGTATATCAATATTAATATCTCCTGTGAAAACTGAAGTGGAATTTTTTTGCAAGTTTCCATTCAATACCTCTGACAAATCCGATAAGAACATTTCTAAATCTGGAGAAGGTGGTCTATATAGAGTTATAATATCATACGGTAATGAATTTATACTACATGATATTTTCATGAACGTTAGTTTTTGCTTTTGAATAAGTGTGATTGTATGAGTGATATTTTCCTTCACGAATGCAAAAGTCCCGTCATTTTGGTTAAATTTAGATTCACTATAGTATGCTACATATCCAGGTATATTGAAAATTCCTACATTAGTTATCTCCCAGGTTTCAGTTAAAATGAGAATATCATATTTGAATTCAATTTCTTTTATTAATATTAAAAAATCGTCGAAATTTTTATTGATATTAATATGGCATATACTTATACAGCAATCATTTCCCATAGTTGTACTGTTATTCAGTTCTACAACTGAAACAATTTCGTGTGTTGTATACTTACATTCATTCTCTGTCAAGATTTCCACTCCATCAATATTCATCTGGTTCAAAGTGTGCCCTCCCTATATCTTCTAGAAAATTAATCATATATAATTATATTTATATAAATCTATATCAATAATTGTTTATTCATATCCAGAAGGATTTATTAATACATTGTAGCGAGGAAAATATGAAGATAATATATATATATTTTTTTTTGTTAACATTTATATCCTATTTCTACAATGACAAATTATTCAAATGATCTGCAGAGTGAATAATAATGATTTTTCCGTTTACTTTAGCTAATATTTTTCCATTTCTAGTCCAGGTATTGACGATTGAAAATTTTTGTATGGCTTCTCGTAGGAGTTTGACCCTGGTCTGTGTTAGATCTTCCCTTATAACAGTTCCTGTGCCTTTCATAAATTTTTTAGCGTTGAAAATTTCTTCTTTCTTGATGTAGGTACGTAATTTCAACAAAATACCTCTTGGTTCGGTACTTTCTCTTTTTCCCACTCTATGGCATCCCTCAATATCTTCTGGACGTATTTCGATTTTCATTTTTTCTTTAAAAATTCGAATTATTCTCTGCTCTGTATTTTCATTGTTTTCTTCTTTCAAGTTGAAAATTCTGAGATTATTCCTTCTTGAATGTTGATCCAGCGCTTCATACTGTTTTTCTATTATTTTGTTAGCATTCTTGATCTTTTCCAGTTCAGATTCAAATTTGTCTAATTTCACTGTACTATTTAATTCGATTTCATGTATATCATCATCCAGCTTTTTCACTTCCTTTTTTACTTCCAATATTTCTCGCTCATATTCTGATAGTTTTTCATTCAAGGTCTCCATGATTATTTTCGAGACTTTATCTGTGATGCTTTTTATGAAGGACTCCTCTTTCCACAATTGTTTTATATTCACGCTCACCAGCTTGTTGATCTTTTCTACCTGATCTCTTGTTATAGGCATTTTGAATTTGAATCAAATTTTAATTTTCCAATGGATCAGATTGTTGGAAAATATAACAATTTTGCTGCGTTGTTGTTCACACAGCTTTCTCACTAAGTTTCACTTCAAGATATGACTTTTATCTCGTTCAATTGGTGAATATTTCGGGAGCACACTTTTCGACTACTCACTCGGTCGGAGTCATGAATATTACATCGGAGCGATTCAAACGATCGCAACATCCAGGATAAGAAACTTCGAATATTTTCACGCTGTAACTCTACATTCCAGTATCTGACTTGCATACTATTGCACTGACCATGTGAGACGACTTTGAAAGGTATATAACGAGTACAACAGGCGAATGAAGATACAACGACTTCATTGGTGAGCACACTGTATCTCTGCATTCTTTTATTCCACAATGATACTATTAAAGCGGATGAGTTGACAAAGATCATATAGCACGACATTCAAGCGGGTATAACGCACATAACAGGACGAACAAGAAACTTCGACTATGTTCACACTGGGACCGGCATTCAAGCTCCTGACATGCATACAGTTGGGGCAGATGAGATCGCACCGACCATGTAGGAAGACATTGGAGGATACATACATACAATTATGGCATATACCATCTGACTGACCATATAGGATGACTCTGGAGGATATGTAACAAGTACAACAGGCAAATGAGGATACATCAACTCAATCGGTGTGCACACTGTATCTCTCTATTCTATCATCCCACATGTATAATATTGGAGCAGAATTAATCGCGATCACCATATAAGACGACATCAAAGCAAGTTTAACTCACACAACAGGCCGAAAATGAAACTTCGACTTCGACTATGTTCACACTGGGACTCTGCTTTCTAGCTTCTGACATGCATACAGTTGGGGCAGATACCATCTAACTGATCATATAAGTTGACTCTGTAGGGTATATAACGAGTACAACAGGCAAATGAAGATACATCGACTCCATCGGTGCGCACACTGTATCTCTCCATTCTATCATCCCACATTATTCGGCAACTATACTGAGGTGATAGCATGTGTATTAAATTGCTCCTCGTTAATCGACTGTTTCAAAGGTTACTGTGAATAAAAAAATTGTGATTTTCTTCCTGGACCCTAAGACCTGGACTGTGATAATGAACTTGTGAAAAAACTGTGAAAAGACCAACTTAAAACTGAAAAAAAAAACGTGAAATCCAATATTTTGTGGTGATAAAACGAACTGTAAGTAAGGCACATTATCGTTTATTCCTAACCCAGTTGAAGCTAGTTAGTGGGGATATCGATCAGCGGAACACAACAATCGAGTTCAATTTAAATTTAGTATCACCTTTTTCTCGGCGAAGTGATTGTCAGTCGTCGTTCGTCTTATCAAAGATCGAGCGAATCCAAAGACGTAACTAATAATTATTATGTCCAGAGATTCAGCAAAGCCATCACCTGTAACCAATGAAGATATATTCAACACACTCCAGGGTATAATAAAACAAAATCAGGATTTGAAGGATGAAATCCATACACTCAAAAATGAAATAAAGGAAGAACTGAATAATTTGAAACAGAAAAATGAAGAACTAGAAAATGAAAATAAGTCATTAAAAAATAGATTGATATCAACTGAACATAAACTGAAGAAATATAATATTGTTATTTACGGGTTGAAAGAAGTTAAAGAAGGCAACGAATTCACTCAAACTTTATCATTTTTACAAAATCAAGTTAAAGTGAATTGTTCTGAAAAAGATATCAGAGACGCATATCGAATTGGGAAGCAGAAAATAACTGGTAGAATTCGACCCACACTAGTAGAACTGTCAACGTATAAAGTTAAGAAAGAAATCTTCCAACAAGTACACAACTTAAAAGGTCTACAAATCTTCGTTTCAAACGACTATACCAAAGAAGAACTTGATAAAAGGAAAGTACTCTCAGACAATTTAAAACTTGCCAAAGCACAAAATCTGCAAGCCAACATCAAAAACAATAATTTATTAGTGGAAAGTCAACTGTTCACTTACGAAGACCTCCTAAACATTCCGATCAGCTCCAGAAACTTCCGAAAGAAAAAATTTACAGGAAAAGAAGAGGATATAAAACCAACGAACCAAAGGAAAAATTCAACAAGAACTACATCAAAAAGTGGACATTCCTGATCTCTTTCTTCTTTTGATTGAACTGTTAACCAGTCACTAAAATTATCTCTAGCTCTATCTCTATTTTTTTATATATTATATCATTTCCCATTTCAATAAAAATACACATTATCATACTTACCTATATTTCATCAAAGATTATTAAACAAAAATAAAGTAAATATATAACATAAAATGGATGAATATATACGAGACTACCAAAATAATTTTATAAAAACGAAGTTTTTGAATAATATCACAGAAATTATTACTGATGATGATCATAAAAAAGGATTTTCAATCATACATATCAATATACGTAGTGTAGAAAAAAATCTTGATGAATTTGAAGCCTATGTCAGCCAACTCCCCAGCTCTCCTGACTGTATAGTGTTATCTGAAACAAGGAAATTAATCGATCCAAATGACTACACTCTAAATGGATATAATGTTTTCTATAATTATGGAAAAATTAACCGAAATGACGGATCACTAGTCTATCTAAAGGACGATATACTTGTACCCAGTTACAAAAAAGTAGAATTGAATGGTTTCAGTTTCATTACATTGAATTTCAAGGTTCACACTGACGATATTACCATTTTTGCTACATACAGACCCCCATCAACTTGCCCCAAATTATTCTTAGAATCGTTGGAAATGTTATTTAGGGAAACAAATTATCCAAACGAAAAATTCAAAATATTCGTAGGCGACATTAACATTGATTTACTCTCAAATAACGATGATATCGTGAATGAATATTTGAACATACAAAACGAATATGGCCTGATTTCGGTTATTAACGAACCTACTAGGGAACAAGGTATGGCGAGTACTTGTATTGATCATATATTTGTAAAATGCATTGAAACAACCATAGAAAACATCTCACCAGCGGTAATAAAATGCAACATCACCGACCATTACTGTATATACCTTAATATTCCAATAGAAAGAAAAACTGATCATACTAAAAATCACCATCTTTATAAAAAAATCAATTCATCTAAATTACTCAAATTATTTAAAAAAGAAACATGGACAGAAGTTTATGAGACTGATAATATCGAGGAGAGATGTGATAAATTCTTCGGAAAAGTTCATAGATACATTGAAAATAGTGAAGAAACCCTCAAGATCAAAATTAAAAAAAGAAACGATTGGATAACTAATGGACTCGTAGTGTCAATGCAAAAAAGGGATGATCTTCGTCAAAAATTACTGAAGGATCAAACTGACCCTGAGTTAAAAAACGAATACACAAAGTATAGAAATAATATCAATAAACTCGTAAAAAAATCGAAAAGAGATTACTACAGAAACATTATAAGTTCAAACACAGGAAATTCAAAACATTTGTGGAATGTGGTTAACGAATACACAAACAAACAAAAAAAGTCAAACGAAATTGAGAGTATCAAAATGGACACAGGTAGGCGATTCACATCAGATATGGACATATCAAACATATTCGTAGAGTTCTTCTCAAGCGTAGGTGAAAATCTTGCAAAGAAAATCAAGGAAAATAACAATTTTAAATTTACTAGGGTCAGCTTGAACAAATCTATGTTCATGAAACCAACCGATGAAAATGAAGTGATGCTCTACATAAATGAGTTAAAAATAAGAAATCCCCTGGAATGGATTCCATAAAAAGAAGAAACAATTAAAACCATCGCACAATACATTGCTAAACCTTTAACTTGTATCATTAATGAAATACTACAGGCAGGACAAATTCCACCAATTTTCAAGATTACTCTCATAAAACCTCTACATAAATCAGGAGACAGATCTCAGGTTACGAATTATCGCCCAATCAGTCTAATAACAAATTTCGCAAAAATCCTCGAATATGCTATACATGACCGTCTGACTCAATTCCTAGACAAAAACAGTATTCTGTCCGAAAGGCAGTTCGGATTCAAAAAAAATATGAGCACTCAAGAGGCAATAGTAGAACTACTGACCAAAACATATAGCGGTATTGACAAAAAACGACCTTCAATAACAATTTTCATAGACTTGGCCAAGGCGTTCGATACGGTAAACCATGACTTATTGTTAGATAAACTTCACAGAATTGGTATAAGAGGCAAAGTAAATGATCTTTTCAAGAGCTATCTGAGTGATAGGATTCAGTATGTTAAAATCAATGATACTCTCAGTGAACCTAGAAAAATACGTCATGGTGTGCCACAGGGAACAGTCCTTGGCCCAGTATTATTCTCCATATATATGAACGAACTTCTCACCCTAGAATCAGCAGGGACAGTAATATCTTTCGCCGATGATACTGCTATCTATTATGAAGCAAGTTCCTGGTTGGACCTAAAAGAAAAAATAGAAAATGATCTAAGAAAACTTTTCTGCTGGTTTGATCAAAACCTATTGACAGTAAATTATTCTAAAACGACTTTCTCACCTTTTACTTCCTACCAAAATAACTTACCAGATTTCAAATCGCTAAAGGTTCTAGGTAAGGAGGGACATTTCATAGAAATAGCATCATCTAAAAAAGTCAAATATCTGGGGATTATAATGGATAGTCATTTAAGGTGGGATGAACACATACAAATTACTATGCAGAAATTGAGAGGACTCATTTTCAAATTCAAAAAACTGAAAATGATATTAGATGTCAGGGGGTGTGCACACTGTATCTCTCTATCCTATCATCTCACATGGACACTATCGAAGCAAACAAGTCCGCATTGACCATATGAGACGACATCCAAGCGGGTATAACGCACACAGTTCGCAGAACAAGAAACTTCGACTTCGACTATGTTCACTCTAGGGCCTGCATTCCAACTTCTGACTTGCATACACTTGGTGCAGATAAGATCGCACCGACCATATAGTATGACTTCGAAGGGTATTCGACGAAAACAACAGGCAGATGGGGATACATCGACTTCATCACTGTGCACACTGTATCTCTTTATTCCGTCATCTCACATAGATACTATCGATGCAGAATAGATCGCGAATACCATATAACAGGATATTTAAGCGCGTAAAACGCACACAACAGACAGAGAAAGAACCATCTATTTCGGTTATGTGTACAGTGTGACTCTACATTCTAGCATCTGATATACATACAGTTGGAGCAGATGCGATAGTTCTTACCATATAAGACGACTCAGAAGAATTGATAACGACAACCACAGGCTATTGACAGACATCATCTCCATTGGTGTGCACACTGTATCTCTCTATTAGATCATCTCACATGGATACTATTGGATCAGTATAGATCGCACAGACCATATGAGACGACATAGAAGCGAGTATAACGCACACAAAAGGCAGAAAAAGGAACTTCGTTTTCGACTATGTTCACACTGGGACCTGCATTCTAGCTTCTGACATGCATACACTTGGAGCAGATGAGATCGCACCGACCATATATGATAACTTTGAAGGGTATTTAACGAGTACAACAGGGAAATGAGGATACATCGACTTCATCGGTGCGGACACTGTATCTCTCCAGTGTGCACACTGTATTTCTCTTTTCCATCATCTCACATGATTACTATTAGTGCATAATAGATCGCAAAGACCATATGAGACGGCTTCGTGGCGATTTTAACGATCACAACATCCAGAATAAAAAACTCCCAGTATATCAACGCTGCTACTCTACATTCTAGTATCTGACTTTCATACTATTGCATTGACCATAAAAGACGACTCTGATAGGTATATAACAAGAACAACAGGCGAATTGAGATACAACGACATCATTGGTGTACACACTGTATCTCAGTATTCTATCATTCCACAATGATACTATTGAAGAAAATATGTTGACAAGGACCATATAAAACGACATTCGAGCAGGTACAACGCACATAACAGGCCGAACAAGAAACTTCGACTTCGACTATGTTTACTCTGGGGCCTGCATTCAAGCTTCTGACATGCATACAGTAGGGGCAGATAGCATCTTACTGACTATATAAAATGACTGTAGGGTATATAACGAGTACAACAGGCAAATGAAGATACATCGACTTCATCGGTGCGGACACTGTATCTCTCCATTCTATCATCCCACATACCTTTGGAACGGAATAGATCGCATAGACTATATGAGATGACATAGAAGCGGGTATAACGTTCACAACAGACAGAAAATAAAAATTTGACTGCGATTCTGTTTACACTAGAAAAGTGCATTTTAGCTCCTGACATGCATATAGTTGTGGCATATAAGATCGCACTGACCATATAGAATGACTCTGAAGGGTATTTAACGAGTACAATAGGCAGATGGAGATACATCGACTTCATCGGTGTGCACACTGTATCTCTTCATTCATCTCACATGGACATTATCAAAGCAGAATAGATCGCAAAGACCATATAAGACGACATTGAAGTTATTTTAACGATCACAATATCCAGAATGAGAAATTTCGAGTATGTTTACACTGTATGTCTACATTCAAGTATCCTACTTGCATACTATCACACTGACCATAAGAGACGACTTTGAAAGGTATATAACGAGAACATCAGGCAAATGAAGATACAACGACTTCATTGGTGAGCACACTATATCTCTGTATTCTATCATCCCACAATGATACTATGTGAGCGGATAAGTTGACAAATCACAGGCCGAACAAGAAACTTCATCTTCGACTATGTTCACACTGGGACCTGCATTTAAGCTTATGACATGCGTACAGTTGAGGCAGATGAGATCGCACCGACCATATTCGATAACTTTGGAGGGTATTCAACGAGTTCAACAGGCAGATGAGGTTACATCGACTTCAACGGTGTGCTCACTGTATCTCTTCATTACATCATCGCACATGGATACTATTGGAGCAGAATAGATCGCAAACACCATATAAGACGACATCGAAATAATTAAAACTCACACAACAGGCAGAAAAAAAAAACTCCGACTATATTCGCACAGATACTCTGCTTTCTAGCTTCTGACATGCATACAGTTGGGCCAGATACCATCTTACTGACCATATGTGTTGACT